AATAGAGACTATATTTCAAACACAGTATTCACAAAAATTGTTGCTAAATGAGGAAGACATCACTAGGTTCCATTTAAGGATACAAAAGCAAACCAAAAAGCAAAAGAGCACTTCCATCTGTAACTTTAGTAACCTTCTATTATATGTTATAAAGTCTTGGCAAGAATGTTCATAGCAGTTTTATTCATAGTAGTCAAGTCTGGGTGGAGAATGGATAGACTAATATATTGAGAAAGTTGAGTATCACTCAGCTGTAAGAAGCAATGAACCATTGTACATGTAATAACATGGATAAATCTCAAAAATATTGTGCTGAGTGAAATAAATACCAAAAATGTCCATACAGTTTTATTCCATTTACATAAAATCTTAAAGATGGCAAAATTAACCAATGGTGCTAAAACTGCAGGGAGGAGAAAAACAGACTGGAAAAGGACATGAGAGCTTTCTAGAGTGATAGAGAAGTTCTGCATCTTGATAGGCATTCAAAATTATGCCTCAGTTTAAAAATATTAACTCTTGGGTAAAAGGGGAATGCAAACAAAGTACAGAGTTTATAAAAATAACAATAATGAAAATACTACATATGTATCAGAATCTGTGGAATACACTTAAAGCTGTGAGCAGAGGAAAATGCATACTCCTAAATTATCAGTCAGTTGTTAAAGGAAAATGCGAATGTAACTTTAAAAGGTTTTTTGGACTTTATCAGCTATTGATACATTGGACAGCGTCCAGTCTAGCAGTTAGAAAGGAGCTCTGAAAAGCTGCACAAGGCCAAGAGATTTTGATAGACCAAAGTGAGCAAGAGGAACAAAGAAGTTTTACTAGACATTTACTGATTGGTTAAAATGGTGTTACTTGCCTTAATGGAGCAAAGGAGGTCTTTTTTAATTTCATGGCTGCAGTCATCGTCCATAGTGATTTTGGAGCCCAAGGAGAGGAAATCTGCCACTAATTCTGCCTTTTCCCTTTCTGTTTGCCATGCAGTAATGGGACAAGATGCCATTATCTTAGCTTTTTTAATATTTAGTCTTAAGCCAGCTCTTTCACTCTCCTCCTTCACCCTCATCAAGAAGCTCTTAAGTTCCTCTTTGCTTTCTGCCATTAGAGTGGTATGCGCATAGCTGAGGTTGTTGATGTTTCTCCCACCTATCTGGATTCCAGCTTGTGACTCATCCAGCCCAGCATTTCTCATGATGTGCTCAGCGTGTAGGTTAAACAGGGTGACAGCAGATGGCCCTATTGTACTCCTTTCTGTATCTTGAACCAATTAGTTGTTCCATACAGGGTTCTAACTGTTTCTTCTTGACCCACATACAGGTTTCTCAGGAGATAGGTAAGATGATCTGGTATTCCCATTTCTCTAAGAGCTTTCCACAGTTTGTAATGATCCACACAGTCAGAGGCTTTAGCCTAGTTGATGAAACAGAGATAGTTGTTTTTCTGAAATTCCTTGCTTTCTTTATAATCTAGTAAAGGTTGGCAGTTTAATCTCCAGTTCCTCTTCCTTTTCTAAACCCCACTTGGACATCTAGAAGTTCTTAGTTCGCATAATTCTGAAGCCTGGCATGCAGGATTTTGAGCATGACCTTACTAGCGTGGGAGATGAGTGCAGTTGTCCGATGGTCAGCACGTTCTTTGGTACCACCCGTTTTTGGAATTAGGATGAGGATTGACCTTTTCCAGTTCTGTGGCCACTGCTGGGTGTTCTAGATTTGCTGACATAATGAATGCAAAACCTTGATGGCCTCATCCTTTCGGGATTTTGAATAGTCCTGCTGGAATTTCATCACATCCACTAGCTTTATTAACAGCAGTGCTTCTTAAGGCCCGCTTGACTTCACAATCCAGAATGTCTGGCTCTGGATGACTAACCACATCATTATAGTAATTTGATTCATCAAGATCTTTTTTTATACAGTTCTTCTGTGTATTCTCTTTTCTTGATCTCTTCAGCATCTACTAGGTCTCTACCATTTTTATCTTTTGTTGTGCCCATCTTTGGGTGGAATGGCCCCTTGACATTTCCAGTTTTCCTGAGAGATCTCTAATCTTGCCTATTTTGTTGTTTTCTTCTATTATTAAGCCCTGTTCATTGAAGAAGGCCTTCTTGTCTCTCCCAGCTATTCTTTGGAATTCTGTATTTAATTGGATGTACCTTTCCCCTCTCCCTTGCTTTTCGCTTCTCTTTGTTCTTCTGCTATTCATAAAGCCTCCTCAGATAACATTACTTTGCCTTCTTGGTTACTTGAGCATAGTAAAACTAAAAGATTGAAAATAAATAATTCCCAACTCCGAAATGAAAAAGAACGGCAGAGTAAGTTAAAGCAAAACACAGGAACCGAAAGAAGTAACAGGTAAATGTAGAAATTAACTTGTTGAAAAGCTATACGTAAAAACTATACGTAAAATTGATGGGTCAATCCTGGACCTTTGTATTGAAATTCACAAAATAAGTAAACCATAGCTAGTTTAATCAAGGGGGAGAGGAGGATGCACAGACATACAGAATGCATAACAAAAGGATAATAATTTTATACAAAAGACATTGAGAAAATCGTAACTATTTTGCATACACTATGCAAATAAATTTGAAAACCTAGATGAAATGGATTATTAGGAAAATACAGTTTCAGAAAATTGATCTCACTACAGATTTAAAAAAAAAAAATACTTGAACACTTTCCATAGAAGAGATGGAGAAATTTATTAAGTAGCTATCCTACAAATAGCTTGCCTGGTGGCTGAACCGGTAAAGAATCGGACTGCAGTGCAAGAGACCTGGGTTCTACCCCTGGGTCCAGAAGATCCCCTGGAGAAGGGAATGGCAACTCACTCCAGTATTTTTGCCTGGAGAATCCTGGAGGAGCCCGGCAGGCTACAGTCCATGGGATCGCAAAGAGTCAGACACGACTGAGCAACTAACACCTATTCCACAAAACACAAGACCCAAATGATTTCACATAGGATTCTGTGAAACCTTCAGAGACCAATGCTACATGAATCATTTCAGACCATAGAAAATGAAAGAAAACTATCTAATTATTTTTATGAAGCAAGACTAATCACCAGTTTTTGGACCTGATAAAAATAATGCAAAGAAATTAAAATTAGACATTTGTGAATATCAATGCAAAATCCTAAATGTTGTGCAATCTCTAACACTATATTCAAATATATTGTGATAAAGTAAGGTTTGCAGTAGGAATACAAGAATGATTCAGTATTTGGAACTCTACTGATGTATAGTTTACCATATTAATACCTCTAAGGAAAACAGTCATATTTTCTTTTTAGATGCTGGGTAAGTCTGTGACAATGGGAAAGATCTATTCCTTATAGAAATTTTTAAGAAAACAGGAATGGATGGATTCGTCCTTAAAGTGATTTTCATAAATATACATGCACCATATACATACATAACACACACCTTAATCCTAAAACTAGCATCTTAGTAGGGGAAACACTAAGATCAGAAAGAAAGGGTGCCCCTTGTCTGCCCTGTTTAACATTGTACTAGAAGTATGAACCAATTCACTTGGGAAAAAGAAAACAATTATAAGCATAGTGGGAAAGAAAAGTTTCTTTGCAGGTGACATGATAGTTTATCTGGAAAGCCCTAGAAAATTAATGACAAAACTTTCAAAATAACTTAGCAAGATTGCAGGATATAAAATGAAACACCTTAGTGTACTCTAGATGAAGGTGAAAGAGCAGAGTGAAAAAGCTGGCTTAAGACTCAACAATCAAAAACTAATATCATGGCATCCAGTCACATCACTTCATGGCAAATAGATGGAGGGAAAACAGAAACAATGACAGACTTTATTTTCTTGGGCTCCAAAACCAATGTGAATGGTGATTGCACAAATTAAAAGATGCTTGCTTCTTGGAAGAAAAGCTATGACAAACCTAAACACTATTAAAAAAAAAAGCAGAGACATCACTTTGCCAATAAAGTTCCATATAGTCAGAGCTATGGTTTTTCAAATAGTCATGTATGGATGTGAGAGTTGGACCCTAAAGAAGGCTGAGTGCCGAAGAAATTAACACTGTTGAACTGTGGTGTTGGAGAAGACTCTTGAGAGTCCCTTGGATAGCAAGGAAATCTAACCAGTCAATCCTAAAGGAAATCATCCCTGAATATTCATTGGAAGGACTGGTACTGAAGCTCTAGTATTTTTGCCACTTGTTGTAAAGGGCCAGCTCCCTGGAAAAGACTGATGCTGGGAAGGATCGAGGGCATGAGGAGAAAGGAGCAGCAGAGGTTGAGATGGATGGATGGCATCATTGACTCAATGGACATGAGTTTGAGCATACTCCAGGAGATAGTGAAGAACAGGAAAGCCTGGTGTGCTGCAGTTGATAGGGTCACAAAGAGTTGAACATGACTGAGCAACTGAACAACAATGTGCTATTCAACAATATAACAAAAGGAAAAATTGCACTTAACATTAACCACAAAATATACTTAAATTCCTAAGATGATGCAGACTATAAAAAGCATTTCATATTCTTACTTAAGACATCTCAATTTTAGAAGATGTCACTTCTTCCTAAGTTAGTAAATCTAATGAGATACTAATAATACCCAACAATTTTTTGATACAGGGCTAAACTAGTTAGTGCTGAAGTTCATTTGGAAAAATAAAACATGCATTTGCAAGAGTTTTGAAACATTAAAGGGAAAATACATGAAGTAATATAAAGTTTAGATATGGAGGCAACTACATATGGAAACCTGATACATAAAGTGGTGTTTCAAAGCACTGTGACAAAATAGACGTTTTAGTAAAAAGTGTTACTACAACTAGATAGTTGGGGAAAGATAATGTTAGGTCTATTCTTCACCTTGTTTTTTTTGTGTGCTCAGTTGTGTTGGGCTCTCTGACCCCATGGACTTGTAGCCCATGAGGCTCCTCTACCCGTGGAATTTTCCAGGTGAGGATACTGGAGTGGGGTGGCATTTCCTACTCCAGGGGATCTTCTGATGCAGAAAATCAAACCCACATCTCTTGTGTCTTCTGCATTGGCATGCAGATTCTTTACCACTGGCACCACCTAGAAAGCCCCTCTTCACACCATACATAAGAATAAGCTCTGGATCAGTGATACAAATATCAAACACTATTCAAATAACGTATATGGGTGAATTTGGAAATTTTTCTGTGACTCAAGATCAAGGTACATTGAAAGAAAATACTGATAAATTTTACTACATTAAAAAATTTTAATTGCATGACAGAAAACTATAAGGAAAATCAAAATTTGCCATTTATAACACACAAGGGAAAATTTAGGGTAAATTCCTAAATACAAAGTTTTATAAACATTTGAAAGATTAAAAACACTGAAGAAAAAAGGATAAAAGATAACAGACAAGTCCACACACACATACAAGAATAATAAAAAATGGCTTAATATAGAACTGTACTGGTTTTTAATACCAGTCCCCACTAAAAATTATGGGAGCTCCTTGGAGAAATGGTTGATTTCAGAGCTGGAGCAGTGTAGGTTTAAAATAATACTAGATTATCTTGATATCCCAGAAAGTAAGGCATTGTCCAGAATGGATGTGGGCATGTCAGAATGACGTGATACGAGTTCAGGGTGATACTAGTAGCCAAATCTGGGGTGATTTGAACCTCCAAATAATTAAGGATAATAGTGAATTATAAACTACTGGGGGGAAAAAAAGGAGTTAGTGAGCTCATACCGATAATGAGTAGGTAGGTAGATACATAAAGGGGATGATGAGAGAGTTTCCTACTGACTGGTAAGAGAATACTAGAATTAGAAAATCATTTTGTGACATCATAATGTTTGGTTCTGCAGGAGCTTTTGGATGCCTAATTTAGGTAAGAGAATGGTGGAATTTCAATGAGAAACAGTATTTGTTTTAAATGTGTCCCCAGGATTGCTTATTAATTTCAGGGAGAAGTATGTAAGGTAAGTATACTGGAAAACGTAGACAGCACCAAGAGGGGAGGAGGCCTATATTATCCAAAAGCAATCTTATAGATTAAAGAAAACTAGGGATACAAATACAACATGTGATCCTGGACTGGAGGGGAGAAATTTTATAAAGGATATTATTGGGTCCATTGAACTACAGATGGTAAGTTAGGGCAAAGTGTTTTATGTTAAATTTCCTGAAACTGAATAATTGTGCTGTAGTTATGAGAGAATGTTTATATTCTCAGGAAATGCACACTGAAGCAGTTTGGAATAAAAAGACATGTATGGGACTTCCTGGTGGTCCAGTGGTTAAGGTTCTGCAGTGGAAACTTCAGGGTGTGTGAGTTTGATCTCTGGCTGGGGAACTCTGATCCTTCATGCTGGTGGGGTGCAATCCAAAAAAAAAAAAAAAGATTAACGCAACTCTCAAATGGTTCAGAAAAATATTTATATATTTCAACAGAAGAATTAAACAAATGGAGCAATTTTTTATCGATTAGTGAATCTGGGTAGAACACACAGGATTTCACTGTATTATTTTTCCAACTTTTCTGAAAATTCGGAGTTATTTCCAAGTAAAAAGTTAAAACAGTAACTGACATACCGTTTTCAGCCAGCATATGAATCAGCATATTGGCAAAAAAAAAAAAAAAAACACTCTTTACTTCACTATTGCCGGAGTAAATTCGAAATGGTGAAATCTCCATGCAGGAGAATTTGACAGTAGCTAGCAAAATTACTACATTCACCATTCTAACCAGCAGTCACACTTCTGAGAATATATCCTGAAGGTTTACTGCAAATAATTCATATACATGTATATATTCATGGCAGCAACATTAGTCATTTGTCATATGACAAAAATTTGTCATATTTTTCATTGTAAAACACTGAAAACTATTAAATGTCCAAGTGAGATTAGTTTGATAAACACACACACAATTTAGAACTGTTCAGCTTAAAAAGAAATGAGGAAAATGTCTATGCTTTGAAACAAAGTGTTTTCCAGGTAATTTTCTAAATAAAAGCAAAGGACAGAGGAATTTAGTATGTGGCCTTTTGTGTAAGAAAGAAGAGAAAATAAGGAAGCATAAATATACCTGTTTAACTTTTTAAAACATAGACACAATAAGAGATGAACCAGAAAGCAATAAAGTTGGTTACCCACCTTACAAGAGTCAGTGATAGGGTAAGGCAAGGAAATGATAGTTCTGCAATTTACACCTCCTTGTATAGCTCTTGTGATTTTTTTTGATAGTCCCTGAAACTGAAACTAATTCACTAAGGATGTCAAGGGAGATGCAAACCAAAAACCGACTTATTTCAAGTTAGTAACGTAACCACAACTGAAGGAGAGAGAAATAACAAATCCAAGTAATTCTTGAACTTGATATTCTGTTCCTTGGTTTGGAGAGAAGAGATTACAAAGAAATTCTGAATATAAAAGTTCATTTTTATAGCAATATAGATGTTATGCTTCTGAAACTATTTAAATATAGAAAAGGATGAAGCATATAAATGTTAATTTTGTTGGAGGCCAGGGTTTTCAGTAGAAGAAGACAGAGAGAAATACGAATGTGGGAAGGTAAGGAAAAGCCCTGTAGGGATGGGAGAGGTAAATGTGAACTCATACAATTTTCTGAAATACATTGTATATATATGACAAATGTCATATTTTTGTGTGCATATTTATTCCAACTCACATGCACTGAACGGCTCCAGAATCAAAGAGATAGCCTAGTAGCAATGAGCACATGGACCACCTAGGTCTTTATTTCTAACATTCCCAATAAAAGAAACCAAGGCTCTTTGGAGAAATGGTTGATTCCAGATTTGATACAGAAAGTGAGTATAAGATAAGCCTGGACTGTCTTGTGATGCCAAAAAGTAAAGAAATGCTAAAAAATGATAGGGCCATGTCAGAATTACACAGGAGTCTGCCTGAATGGGTTCCAACTGGCTGAATCTGTCATGGTTTGAACCCCCAAATAACAAAGGACAATAGGGAATTATAAACCACTGAAACATAGGAATCCAGAAGTTAAAAGCCGTAAGAAAGAGGGCTCTTCTTTACAGAAGAATACCAGCTGGTGGATATGGGAGGATTTCTGGGATTGGAAAATCATAGTAAAAGATTGGGCAAAAATCATCATTGAATGCTAAATCTGGAGTGAGATTTTGATGAGCAGTTTATTCACATGGTCTTGAAGTGTCCTCTGTAGTAGTAGTTTAATTGCTCAGTCGTGTGTCCAACTCTTTGCAACCCGTGAATTGTAGCCCACCAGGCTTCTCTGTCCATGAGATTTTTCAGGTCAGATTTCTGGAGTGGGTTGCCCTTTTCTCCTCCAAGGGATCTTCCCGACCCAGGGATTGAACCCATGCCTCTGTGTCTCCTGCATCAAAGGCAGATTCTTTACTGCTGAGCCACAGGGGAAGCCCCATCTTCCTATAGACTAAGAAAAATAGTAAGACTTGAGTGAAGGACCAGATGGCAACGAGACCAAGTCTTCAAACTTATCACCAGTAAGGGGCAGATAGACACCATGTAATCTGAATTTGCTTCCCTGAGAAAAGTATCATCAGTATCATATTTCAACTGAGAATATACAGTCTGAATCTAATGATAAGAAAACCTCAAATCCAAAAAGAAGGAATTTTTATCTTAGTAAAGTAGAGGAAATCTCTGTGAATTCCAAATAATTTGTGTTGATAGTCCACCCTTATGGAGGGGGTGCTTAATTCCTAACTCCTTAAGCATGGATTTACAATAGTTCCTTCCAAAGAGTACAATATGGAGGAGGGGAGAGTAGTAATTTTAGAGTAGAGAGAACTGACATATTTCTCTGGCAAGTAATCAAGGTCAGCATCAACAGGGATAAACTATGTTGAAGGATATATCCTTCATGTAGCAAAGGACACTTGACATCTGTGATCTTCTTCCCAAAAGTAGAAACCTAGTCTAATCATGAGGACATTGTACAGGAGGCAGTGATCAAGACCACCCCCAAGAAAAAGAAAGGCAAAATGGTTGCCTGAGGAAGCCTTACAAATAGCTGAGAAAAGAAGAGAAGCTAAAGGAAAAGGAGAAAAGGAAAGATGTACCCTTTGAATGCAGAGTTCCAAAGAATAGCAAGGAGAGAAAAAGAAGTCTTCCTCAGTGGTCAGTGTAAAGAAATAGAGGAAAATAATAGAATGGGAAAGACTAAAGATCTCTTATAGAAAATTAGAGATACCAAGAGAACATTTCATGCCAAGAAGGGCACAATAAAGGACAGGAATGGTATGGGCCTAACAGAATCAGAAGATATTAAGAAAAGAGGGCAAGAATACACAGAAGAACTATACAGAAAAGATCTTCATGTCCCAGATAACCATAATGGTGTGATCACCTAGAGCCAGGCATCTTGGAATGCGAAATTGAGTGGCCCTTAGGAAGCATCACTACAGACAAAGCTGATGGAGGCGATGGAATTCCAGTTGAGCTATTTCAAATCCTAAAAGGTGATGCTGTGAAAGTGCTGCACTCAATATGCCAGCAAGTTTAGAAAGCTCACCAGTGGCCATGGGACTGGGAAAGGTCAGTTTTCATTCCAATCCCAAAGGATGTTCACACTACCTCACAATTGGCGCTAATCTCACATGCTAGCAAATTAATGCTCAAAATTCTCCAAGCCATGGTTCAACAGCACATGAACTGTGAACTTCCAGATTTTTAAGCTGGATTTAGAAAAAGCAGAGGAATGAGAGATCAAATTGCCAAAATCCGTTGGATCATGGAAAAAGCAGTAGAGTTCCAGAAAAACATCTACTACTGCTTTATTGAGTACGCCAAAGCCTTTGACTGTGTGGATCGCAACAAACTGGAAAATCCTTAAAGAGATGGGAATACCAGACCACTTGACCTGCCTCCGGATATATCATATTGCAGGTCAAGAAGCAGCAGTTAGAACTGGACATGAAACTACAGATTGGTTCCAAATCTGGAAAGGAGTATGTCAAGGCTGTATATTGTCACCCTGCTTATTTAACTTATATGCATAGTACATCATGCAAAAAGCACAAGCTGGAATCAAGATTGCCGGGAGAAATATAACAGATCAGTAAGCTACTTGGGGAGAAGGCAATGGCAACCCACTCCAGTACTCTTGCCTGGGAAATCCCATGGACAGAGGAGCCTGGTGGGCTACAGTCCATGGGGTTGTGAAGAGTCAGACATGACTGAGCAACTTCACTTTCACTTTTCACTTTCATGCACTTGAGGAGGAAATGGCAGCCCACTCCAGTATTGCCTGGAAAATCCCAGGGACAGAGGAGCCTGGTGGGCTGCTGTCTATGAGGTCATACAGAGTTGGACATGACTGACGTGACTTAGCAGCAGCAGCGGTAGCAAACTACTTGGGGGAACAGGTGGGGCCAAGGGAGGGAAAGAATCTACAAAGCAGCATGAAGAAACTTAGGGTGATTCTGGACAGGTTCTTTATCTTGACTGTGGTGATCATTTAATGAGTGCTATATTTGTCAAAACTTGCGAAGACAATGGTAAAAGGGATATCCTTAGATTGACAGCTGTACCGGAGGTCTAGAAAGCAACCATACTATATTGGAGGAGGATGGACGAAGGTGGCTCCAGGATAAAAATGAACCTTTGACAGTTGAAGGATTTAGAAAAAGGCAATAGATACTTTGAATAGTGATTAAATGAAAAAAGAATGAGACAATTGCTAACTCCAGGAAAAGTTATACCAAAATGGAACACAAAGAGTTTCCTGGTGGCCTAGTGGTTAGGATTTCAGACTTTCACTGCTGTGGCCCAGGTTCAATCCAGTGACTGGGCTGAGGAGCAGTAAATATAATCACATAAACACCGGTCATATTCCACTTGTGTTGCTTGGATGACATATTCTGTGTTTGCAGGGTGAATGGAAGAGATTAGAGTATATGTCTAGAACAGTAGTCCTTAAGATGCTTTGGAAAGGGCTGCAGACTGTATATTCCTCTTAAATTATTGTCATGTTCGCAGTGTGTTAAGGGTTCGAAGAGGGCTTTGAAGTAAGGAAAATTTCCTAAATATGTTTGATCAATCTTTTTTTGAAAAATGTTAACAGCCTATAGTTATTAAAACTAAAATGTTTGACTCTCTGAAATTTTAGGTTTATATTATCTTAACAAGTTGAGTCAGGATAAGATACTCTCTATTGACTCTAAAAGGTCAGTAAATGTTAGCTGCTAACCAAGCTGACTATAAAGTGGACAACAAGTTTATATGAAAACTATGGGTGTACAAGATAATCTCTGCATGGAGTTAGGGTGTATGAATTTATTACAACTTAGAATTGTAGCCAGTTTTTACTAAATGTATATTCCAGGCATTGTGGAAAATATTTCATAGTGTCTTTATGTTGCCCTCAGGAAAAAAAAAAAATATGTCAAACTTTTACTCTGGCCTTCAAGGGCTCTGGTAATCTGACTGTAGCATCCTCCTCTGACGCCATCTCCGACTAGGTATCAGCTACCCTGACCTTTCAATGTATCAAGTACATGCCAGTCCTAAAGCCTTTGTCTTGTCTTTTCCTTTGCCTAGAATATTCCACACCAGACATTTCGGTGCAGTTCAGTTTAGTTGCTCAGTCGTGTCCGACTCTTTGCAACACCATGGACTGCAGCACGCGAGGCCTCCCTATCCATCACCAACTCCCAGAGTCCACACAAACTCATGTCCACTGAGTTGGTGATGCCATCCGACCATCTCATCTTCTGTTGTCACCTTCTCCACCTGCCCTCAATCTTTCCCAGCATCAGGGTCTTTTCAAATGAGTCAGCTCTTAGCATCAGGTGGCCAAAGTATTGGAGTTTCAGCTTCAGCATCAGTCCTTCCAATGAATACCCAGAACTGATTTCTTTTAGGATGGACTGGTTGGATATCCTTGCAGTCCGAGGGACTCTCAAGAGTCTTCTCCAACACCACAGTTCAAAAGCATCAATTCTTTGGTGCTCAGCTTTCTT